CAATCCTAGTGTTGCTCTTTTAACCCCAGAGACCAGAACCCACCATGCTCTCCCAACATGACAATACTTAGATACCCGTCCGTAGTGACACTGGCCTCTAAAATCATATCCCTCTCGGGGTTTTGTTCATAAGATTCTACAAAGTAGTGCATCCATATCTTGGACCGCTTTCCTGCAGTACCCAGCTTTCCACAAATGCTAGAAAACCTATAAACATCTTTTTTTTCTTTTTTTTTTTTTTTTTTTTTTCAGAACAAGGCCTAACAAGTGCAAGTGTTGCATTACCTAACACTTAGGAACTGAAACCTTTTGTAGGTTATTGCTTGAAGCTCATGAGAGGACCCAGAAATATATTTAAAAAAAAAAAAAAGGGGGGGGGGGGGGGGGGGGATTTAAAAAGTTTTAGAAGTATCATGACCCACATTTCAGCTAGGAAACCAAGATGTAGATCTACTCAATGAGAAGCTGGCATAAGGCAGATGGCCTTCTACTCCCAGAAACCAAAAGACAGGAAGACCAATTTGAACCCTCCTTTAAGTAACTACTAAAGACACAGAGTCCAGATAAGCCTTTTGCATTAATATAAATTCAATATAGAATAGAAAAAAAAAAGTACACAAAATAATCTATTTGCAAGTAGTATAAATTGAAGCTGCTCCTCAGAAAATTCTGAAAAAAAAAATGCAAAGCCAGCTGAAATACTACAAAGATTCTCCAATAGTCTTAAACTCATACACATAAGACACATGAAGTTCATTCATTATTTTGATCTGTTTTTATTACACAGGGATTAAAAGTGAAGACCTGGCCTAAGATAGGCAAGGGAAGGGAAGACAGTAATTAATGCACAGGATTTTAATCTGGATTTTAGTAAGAATTCACATGATGTCACCTCTTGAGAGATTATTAACCACAATCTTTCATCTTTTACAAAACAGGCCTGCTTTTTCTTCAATAACACCCCCTTTGCAATGGCTGTGATACAGTTGTTTTCTTTTCATCTTAAAGATGCTTTCCCTCTCCACTTTCATACACTACATACCGAAGCTGCATAAAGGACTGAGAGAGCACTGTATCTCAACCTTTAAAGCAGGGCAACATTGCAGAAAACATAACATTCAGCCTGGCAGGAATATTTTCTTTATATGACAAACAGCTGAGCTGAACAGAAGCACCTGGAGTTTTCACCCCAAGAAAAATAGCTCAAAACTAAATTTTTTTTTTTTTTTGGGGGGGGGGGGCGACACGACTGTCTTCAGTTAAAACTATCACACTTTTTTTTCAGTCATTAGGGTCTGCAAAACAGGTTTCTTAACACCTGCCTCCTCCCCAAAATTACACTAACAGCTTAAAATTATGCATGAAGACATTGCTTCTTTATAACTTCTGAGAATTTATGATTCAGTGATCTAAAAACAGTTAGCAACCATCCAGCAGATACAGTCTCCCTTCATATGCACCTAGTTCAAGCTATTTTCCACTCAAAGTTTGGTAAGGTTGCCCTGAGCTGTGTTTCTCTGGCAATACTATTATCTTGAGATCACATCCTGTGTTGGGAGATTTTTCCCTCTGCTGGCCACCATAAAGACTTGCTCCTAGACTTTTGTGACAAGTGGTGTCCTATGCAGTCTTCCCGCTAGGTCCTAACAATCTTGTATATGCAGTCCGTGAAAATGAATCAAAGCAGTCATCTGGTTCAATAAAGATATTACCAGTTCATTCAAAATGCTACCTCCATCTGCAGAAGTTTAGAAAGACAGAGCCACAGAACACAGATGACTCAGACCTCTTCAGCAAGTTTAAGGATTCTTGTGAGCTTCTTCAGTGTGTTTTTATAAACAGATGCTCATTTCTGAGCATTTCACACTAAAAATAACTTCAGAAGAACTCAAAACCAGCTAGCCTTAATTTGACTATGAGGAAACAGGTATACAGATTTTAGAGTCTTCAAGCACCAAGTATTTAAAATATGCTTTTTTTAGAACACAAAGAGAAAATAGACTATACACTAGAACTCTGCCCACCTTGGAGATAGACCACTTAGTCAAAACTATGGTGAACATTCCTTTTATGCAACAGTGAGAAAAAGCGTCTTAGGAGAATAAGAAGGAATGAGAGAGGTTCTACTAACAGTTTAGATCACATACACCATCTCGTTATGATAGCATTTCACCAAATTCAAAAGGGGATAAAGAGGATCAGTGCTAAGAAAGCAATTTATTATTTAAATTTTTGATTCTCTAGTACACTGTTTCCTCTTTCAGCCCTTCATTTCTATATATAATTCATGAAAAAGTTTGCAGACCCTTACTTTTAAGAAGAGACTTTAAAAAAATATTTTAAATCATTTTACATAATCATATTTCTCTAGCTCTACCTCTTTATTCCCATGTGCACACAATTTCTTCTGCTCTTCCCCTCTCCTTATAGTGACTCAGCATTGCTGAGGTATTCAGGCCTAATCCCACAAACTATCCGTATGGCTTGTATTCTTCTGGCCACTATAATGAAGTTCCACGGAACTACTGAAATAGTAGTCTACTGAATAATATCCATAGTTAGGGAGTATATCCACATCGTATGCCTATAAATGGTGTATTAAGGCTGACAAGAAAATACAGGTTAAAGGATGTATGGTTCCAAGAACAGTAAAAAAAAGAAAAAAAAAGGTATTTTTCTTCCTCAACTGTCCACTATGTATGTATATAAGGTCATCACATTTGTCTTTGCTTTTTTCATGTGCTAAAAATCAATCCTAAATATAGGTTTCTTTCTTCACCAACTATAAAGGTATTTTGGTTATTTATTTTTATTACCAATATGGGAGACAGCAAAATCTTGCAAGTAGGACTTATTACAATACAGCATTTATTTTTATTCTGGGAAAGGATAAAAGCAGTACTAAAAAATCCCCCACCCAAAAAAAAACCCAAAACAAAACCAAAATCCCTCATGTATCTTTCACAATCCAACTGTATTCTGTTTTCTTTATGGGTTGTTTTCCTTTTACATCCTAGGCAGACTTCCCCCCTCCTCCCCCCAAGTTATTGCTCTACAGAGACAATTATAGTGAATGTTAAACAGAACAACCAAAATATTTGTTATTATGTTATTGGTAAAATAGATAGAAGGGCAAAGAAATGACTTCATGCAAGGAAAGACACAAGATACAAGCTGGGGCCGGGGGGGAAGGCCTCTATGGCACTCTGGAAGCAAGACATGCAAAAATCAGTCCAGACAAGGAATACAATCAACCCTTTCCTTCAACTAAATAGATCAAAGCAGTAGAATTTTCATGCTAGAAGAATGAAGTCAACATAATGTTACTCTCCACGAAGCCCCAAGCTTAAAGAACCCTTCTGTGGTAAAAACTGCAGCGTTAGCATTCCCTACATTTAAAAGGGACACAGTGAGTAGAAAGGAGATCCACTTTACACAATACTCAGCAGCAAGCATACCCAAGGAAATCAATACCAATTCTGTCAGCACTGATTTCTGCAGAGCTTTACCCCAACGGGTAGATATAAGGTAGGGCATAGGAAGGATAGGCAACAGCGGGCAATGTTCTCGTGAGCAATGCTGGGTAAGTAAAGAGATTGGCAGACGTTCTCCTCTGTGGATTCCCAAGGAAAAACTCATGTAGAAACATGGAGGAAGCACTATTCCCAAAGGCAGGTCTGCAAGCACTTGCAAATTCCTTTCTTCCCACACCCCTCTTCCAAAGAGGGCAACAGAATGTCCCTAGTGTTTAAGTTTCTTTAAAGAGTGGTCTCACTTTAAAGGGGTATTAATTCCAAATGTAGCATTCTCTTCAGTAGCCCCATTTCCCAACAATTGAACAGTTTTTCTGTGCCATCCGTAATATATTGCTGTATTCAGATGCATCCAAAGGTACATCCTGGCATCCAAGTTCAATAAGCTAGGAAGCAACCTTTCTTCCTGTTAAAACATCAAAACTATACAACTATCTTATCCTTTTTTCACAGATTATACAGTCCCTCCATACTAATTCCACATCTGAAATGGCACACAGTCAATATCAACAAAAGCACATATAATGCATAATAAATTCACTTTCTAAAATTTCAAAAGAAATGCAATTCAATAGGTAGGAACGCCATTATAGCTAAGTCCTTCAGTAGTATCATACACACTGATCTGCTTTGCTGTCTCTCTTCAATCTGTCTCTACCATGGCAATCTCTTCCTATACAAACTATCTTTACCTTCACTTCACCATTTTAACCTGAGGGAAGAAGTTAATTTTTTTAAATAAAAATTTATGAAAATAGGATGGAATGATTTTAAAGGGTGCCTCCTAAGTGATACAGTTTAGAATAGGTTTACTTCTTTATCAAGTTATTTCACAAAACCAAAGTTTGTTCAATCCCATGCAATTTCAGAAAAAAAAAATTACTATCTGCATCTACACAAAATTAAATACTAGATCTTGTCATTAAAAATGAAAAATGCAGGTATTATTTGACAAAAACTGGTAACACTTTACAGTGGTCTTCACTGGTCATACACTGGCAGGAAACCAATACTGCATTTATTAGGTAGTGCATGATACACTCAAAGCCAAGTAACTCATGCTGTAAGTTCAGGTTTCTAAAGAAACTCCCTATCTAGACATTTCTGCAGTCTAGAACTATTTTGGAAAAAGCATTTTGTTGATGATGGTATACCATAAGTCAAGACACCGAAATCTATGATGCTCAGACAAGTCAACTCTGCATAATTCCTATTCGTTTTATCTCCAGTTCAGCTTCTGAACCATCCTGAAATTCAAAATAATTATTTTTTAAATTAACACAAGGGAAATTACATTCTTGTTTAATTACATGTCCTCCTTTAATTCCTAAAAATGGTGGTAAGGACCACCATTAAGTCTCCAAGATCTACATCAGCAGCATTATAATGAATATAACATTCACACACAGTTCCACATCACATATTGCCATTTTGAAAATTCTGCAGATGAGCCTCTTTTTACCCTACCTTGTCATGTTTCTGCTGGTGCCTTGCCCTAGTATCCAGGATATGGTAAGGGGTTTCAGAGTCTCTGTTGATGTAATAGATTAGTCTTGAAGGCAGTGCGATTTCTTTCTGGATTGCATTGCTGTAGCTGTTATTTTTACTGCTACTGCTTTTATTCTGTTGAAATGTATTCTCTTCACCTGCCAGTACTCCCTCCATACCGCCTGCCGTTTCATTCCAATGCAGGTCTGAGGAAGAAAGATATGTCAACCATAAATTAGATGGCAGAATGTGTTTATTTCCATAAAAAAAGCTACATATTTAGCTTGCACTATTCTAATATTTTACGAATCACTCAAGCAAACAAAAAGATAGTTTACTCATTGAGCTAGATCCGATTCATTTTTCACACATAAAATGGTTTCAGAAATAACATTATTTATTTAAATGCATATACATTTTCATATGCAGTCACGGATTATAAATATTTTAATGCCTCTCAACCTCCAAGAGGAAAAAAAAACCCAACTTAATGGCTGTGTAGCCTACACCCTCTTTGATATCTAAGTTCTCTTCTCTGTTGGAGACACACAGACACAGAAAACAAAATATACATCTACAAAAGTCTAAGAATACTCCCCATTTTCCTAAGGCAAACTGAATTCGGAAGAAGTTTTCTACCTCTCTCTTTTAACTTTGACAAGAGCCTTTTTCTTCAGTGACAGCTTTTCAGATTAAATCCTGTATCCTTCCTCATTAAAATTTCAAGATACAGTCAATCAACAAGCTATGTAACAATAACGGTAATAACATGATGCACAAACCAATTATATTCAGCATTCCACATGTCATCTAAATGCAATCAAAAGCAAATAAACAAAAAGCACACACAAAAATCCAACCCCAAACAGATTAGCTTCCCAGTCAGATCCCCGTACACATGCATCCTAACACACACAAAAACCACCTAAGCCTTTTTTGTCGCATACCTCACCAGCGTATTTCTACACAGACCATCCTCTAAAGCACTGCAGCACTGGCTTCAGAAGATCAGAGGGGGATACCTCACATTTCTCACTTTTGTAAGAAGCAAGCAAGCCAAGAAAACATTTTCTGAGCCCCATTTTTCTACACGCCGAAGCAGACACGTACACAAAGCTGGAAGGGGCGGAGAAAGAAATCGTTCAGGAGGAATGGATGTTATCGAGGCTTATCACCCGGGGGGAGGCAGGGGGGCCGGGGGAGGACGGGGACCGAGAAGCAGCCGACACCTCACGCCCACGAACACACACACAGGCGCACAACCCGCCATACTCACCGGCGGCCGCTGCAGCCGCGCGGGCCCGGGGGCAGAAGGCGCCATGGAGGAGCAGGAGCAGCGAGACGAGGCGGCCGAGGAGCGGCAGGAGCG